CATGGGTGACAACTTCAGGTCTTGGTCTACTCTTGTGTGGTGTCAGAAGTATGAGTAGAAGAATGCTAAATGTCCTGTTACGTTTCTCACCACCAGTCTCAGGTAATGCAGAACATAGTTTTTGTTTAATTTCCTGGTAACAGAATGATGGATATAAATATTTGGCATTTGCATCTTGACTACTGAAATACAGAATTTAGCAGGATTGAATGTTTGACTGCATTACCCTTAATAAAAATCAAGACTGATTAATTTTGCTTAAAATTTGGCTCTACATTTGCTTTCTAAAATGTCTGTCCTTTTCTTAAAGGAAAAAAGCTATTTCCCTTGCTGACAAATTGGAGTTGGCTCAGAGGAGATTGTAATGCAAGGCAACAGGCATCGCTTATGTGAACTTTTCTTGCATAGGTGCTGCTTGTCATAAGTGTAGCAAATCCTGGCTTGCTTCTTGAACAAGCTGCACAAAGCATTGACTATTTCTTAAAGCCTGTTAAAATGCTTTTATATCCTAATTAGCATTACAGATTTCAGGAATACTAACTTACTTTAGTAGAAAGCTTTTTAATGGTGTGTTTTTACACAGAGACCTTGTCCGCATTTAAAAAAAAATGACAAAGGTGCACTGGTGTAGTAATAATTAAACAGACTCGCCTGGTGTGATACGTGGCATGAGCACCAAGGTCAGACTGGTCATTGCACTGTCATTGCACAGTTATATTTCAGTTCTGCTTTTGTGTTTTAACAGTTCTGTTTTCTCACCAGCTTGCTTTGTAACACCTCTGCCAGCAAGCCAGAGCCCTAGTATTATATGCACATTGTACAGGTATGAACGACTCCGAAACATAAAGGCAACTGAGGATGAAGCTAATTTTAAAGTGGTCTTAGCTTGCTAAAAGCAGGGTTTTTTCCTTTTTACTTAAAATTGAATCTCTATGCTTGGAACTGAAAAGCTTTATTCTTTCTGCTCTGTAATCATATTTATAGAAAAATGGAAAACTGTGGCCAAGACTAGCAATCACATGATAACACAGCAGCTTTTATTTGCTACATCTGGAAACTTACCTTGCAAGTAGAGTGCTTTTATCTCCGCTCAGGTGTTGAGCCATTGCTCTGCCTGTTCTACTAACAACCTCAGAACCTGTTCCCATCTCTGTTCTCTGCAGCCATACCATCCATGTTTGACTTGGCACTACACATGAGCAGACTTGTGAAATTGTAAGGAGAGGGGGTGTTTTTTTGGTGTTTTCTTTTGTCGTTTTTTAAAGTCCATCATGAGCAAAGTATTACCATATGTTCCAGATGCTTTATTTGATATGTTGGACTTCTCAGACTTTCCACAATTATTTAACTTTCTTTTTTAAAGCAATTTAAGCAAGATGAAAAAATGTTCCTATCACCTAGGATTCCTTTCTCTTGTCCTTCTTAGACTGTGGTTTTAGATTTAAAAATACTGTACGCAGTGAAAATACCTAAAGATGGAAAATAGTACTGATGACAAAACAGAGACATTAATTGTTAGGCCTCCTTAAAAAAATTAATGCTTCCAGTTAATGCATTGTTAGGCATGGCAACTTACTCCATTTTAAATTAACACAAACCTTAGTCAATGCACCATGATGCTTGCCTTAACTAGTTAGGTTTTGAAGCTTAGTAGTTGTGGTGGTACACGTCCGTATCTGCATTGCTAATTGTATTTGAAGCTCAAGTCATGTCATTTAGGACAAATTTGGACTCCCTTCCTACTTGAGGTTAGTGGGAGGGAACTCGACAAAAGCACACACACACGACAAAAACGTTGTGCATGCACTTGGGCAAACAGGCTGTGTATTTTAAATAGCTTGCATCCGTAGCGAAGACTGACAAGCCCAAGTGAGGTCTGCAAGCCCGAGAGACCTGCCGAGCTGGCGGCGCGGTGGCACCCCTCGGCATCAGGAGCGGCTTTACAATGACCTCCCTTGTCCTTTGCGAGCGGTGCGGGCGCGAGGTGCCAGCGCGGGCGCTGGAGCCCGCCTGGGGTGCCTGTCCTGCAGAGCCTGCTCCGCGTGTCTCCCAGGGAGAGCTTTTCTCAAGCTGGTCTTATTCCAGCGCTCCAAGCTGCATCTGCCTCTACAGGTGTGCCTGGCCCACGGGGGAAAGGAGGGCATCCACAAGTCCCTCCTGTGGTCCAGCTCCCGTGTGATCTGTAAACTGTGACACCAGGGGAAGGTGCTGAGCCGGGATGCAGAGCATTTATATGCCCTGAAGGGCCTGCATCTTGAGATGACAGGAGTGATTTATCTGGGTGTTTCTTTTTTCAGCCAAGAGGTTCTTTTTGACCGAATGGAAAAAGAGCTTAATCCTTTTCCCGACTTCTCTTTTTTTCCTTGCTGCTGCTTCACTCATGGCAAGGCAAATAAAAGAGAAGACTAAGGAGGAAAGGGAAAAATACAGAGGGGTCTTTAATTCTCTGCATTATATAAGAGAGAAAGTACATATTCCTTTTTCAAGACATATTACTTTTGTTTTGGGGGAGGGGAGGCAGTTCCCTTTGCGTGGAAAACACCATTTTTAAATTGCAAATTTTTACTGCCCTGAGGCATAGTAGTTGATACAGGTGTACTGCGAAGGACTTTCACACGGGTGTCTGCTCTGAAAGATGTACTCTTAAGCGCAGCTTTTGATGGGAGCCCTAAATAAACCAGCGCTTAAAATCAGCGTGTTGCACAGCTGATGGGGGTGAGGGAGTGTAAGATGGACGAGGCACACCTCCCCGCTATGTGAGGCGGCTAGCTCCTTGCCCAGGAGCTCTGGCTCCTGCTCAGCCCAAATCCTGGGGGTACTGTGGCAAGTGCCAACTCTCCCAGTAGCTCTGTGGTCCCATCTATGGTAACTGTGCCTGCCCTGTCACACACAAGGGGATACAGCTTTGGGTTTCTGGTCCGGGGGAGGCCAGGCACGTTGGACACCCCGGAGCTGCCTCAGCATGCCCCGAGGTGAGGGTCTGCGTCCCTCTGCAGAACAGCTGGCCCCACAGGCTGCCGGCGATGCTCCCGGTGGTGCAGGAGCATTGCTTGCAAGCCCTCCCTGTCTGTATGCTGACGTACCAGGAAGAGTGTGCCAGAAGCACTGCTTGCTTTCACACAAGGCATTTTCATCACCTCTGAAAAAGAAGTTATTTCTGTAAGCCTGCAAGTTCTTCAGGTGACTGCTCTATCCCTTTAATGCCCTCCTTCCCTCAGCAGTTTTTGTGGTTCTGTGTTTTTGCTGAAGATGAAAGCTTTGCATCACGGAATGGGAGCTGCCAAGTGAGCGGGAGGAGAGTCATAGATCCTGATGCTGGAGGAGCACTACGTGTTGGCATTCCCCACCCCTCACCAGAGGCTTTTGTCATATTTGGCAGACTTCTTTAAGTAAATGTTGTAAATGCGTTGTAAATGGCATTGGTTCAGTATTGGAATGTAGGGACTATGCTGGCAACAATTATAAAGGTAGGATGCAAGTGAATTGGCAGGGGAGATAAAACAGATTAAACGTCCAGTGCATAATATTTATGTCCCAGCCTTCTGGGTACCATGATAACAAAGGCCATGTTACATATACTTCACACTTGCTTCTTTCACCACTCAGAGACTATGAGTCCAATTGCTTTGTGGGTGACTTGCTAATCTCTTCATTTTCAGGGAATAAAAAAGGTCTGTGGAAGTTTATGTGGTGATAAAAAGAACAACAATAGGAGTTTGTTAGGGACAGGACAGGGAGGGAGTGGTTTCAGGAATTTGTCAGAAGTCATTTCTAATTGCAGGATGTTTTTTTAATGAGTAGGCACATGTCCTTTTCCTTGATGTGGAGGGTGAAGACGGTATGGGGAGAAGTAAGGCGGGGGGGATGACATGAAAAACTCCTAGCGCATGTAATATTCTCGCTGACAAAATCTGACTGCTTCACAATTCGCTAGTTTCCTTCAGTGAAACTCATGCTTTGGTTGCGAGCTGGAGCTGTAACCACGAGGAACTATGTTGAGTGAAACTGTGTATCGCTTGTTGAATGCAGAGTGGATGTGACATGTCATGCTGCAGAGCTCAAATCCCAGTTATTTAAAAGGCAATAGGCTTGTTTGTTGACACATTGGACAAATGCTGCTGTGTAGTCCTTACTGCCTGCAGCCTAGCTACATTTCCAGTACCTTTCATTGTTTAATGCAAATCTACTTGAGGTGAGAAACTTGTTTAGCTGAGTTTGGGATTTGAGAACTTAAGAAAAACAAGAAATCATAGCAATAACGTGTGCGTAGGAGAAGACGTTTCTGCAATTTTCTTTGGGGCACACTGGCTGTGAAGGGGATGTATGAGTGTCAGAAGTGTTGAACCTGTTTCAGGTCTTCCTCCTCTGATCCTCCCCTTCAAGGAGCACTGGTTTTTCTTTTAAAGCAATATATTTCTTGTAACAGCTTTGAGAAAAATCAGTGAAAGTTTATGGAAAGGCAGTGCACAGAAGATTCATACACAAGTATTTGAGTCTTGTGCAGTTGTATGTTTTAAGCAGTAGTTAAAAAAGGTGCTCTTTATACATTTGCAGCTGCTTACTATTTAAGTCTGATTCAGCCTCTCCTTGTCACCGATTTTTTTTAAATAGCTTTTATTTTTGTAGTACTTTTTAGTAAAAAGGAAACTGTAAAGCCATTGAAATATTTTATGTTGGACTATGGGAAGGCTGTCAGAAGGCTGTGGTCTCAGCTGCCACTTCACTGTTTGCCCACGTGGGATGCTCAGTGCTCATGCAGTATATTCTTTGAACTTCCAGTGAACTTAATAGCCAGAAACTTGTAGAAAGAGACTGTGATTGAAATGACCCTTCTGTGGTGATAGGTTTTTGATGTGCTATGGCTTCATTTTACATTTAGCAGGTTCTTAGTATCGTGGGGCTAGAGGAAGGAGCAATGCAAGGCCTAATGCAAGAAAAATATAGTTCTTGAGCCTGCAGCAGTCAGTAAGCCATTTCTATTTTATTCCTTTCCCTTCCAGGTGTGACATCTGTTGTATTACCTTTCGTACTCATCGGGGCCTACTGCGCCATAATGCAGTTATCCACAAGCAGCTTCCCAGAGATCCAATGGGAAAGCCTTTCATTCAGAACAACCCTTCAATTCCAGCAGGCTTCCATGACTTGGGATTCACGGACTTCTCCTGTAGGAAATTCCCCCGCATTTCTCAGGTACACTCTGTTCTTCATAGTTTAGGTAGCAACTGATGAAGAGCATTCTGAATTTGTTGAAAGGCTTGTCCTTGATGAGGCAGAGGTTGGATGGAGAATATTTTGTGGAAAGTACATTACCACTGTCTGTGTAGGCTTCAAACACTTCCTGCCTTTCCTTTTTTCATCTAAAGAATGTTTGCGGTTTGGTTTTTTTTTTCCAGCATTCCAGTGGATAACTATTGGTGTAAAGATCTATAAAAATACTTTAAAGGAAAACTGTGTGGTATTAGCTTCTTGCCCCTTCCAGCCTGCCCATTAGTTCTCACCTTCCCTAAACCACCCCACATCTAAAATCAGTAGGGAGGACACATGGTAAGGAAGGCACTATTTATTTTAGTTTACTGTAACCAGGATGCAGTTGTGGTGTGAAAGATTTTATCATGAAAAACTTTGGGAAGTCACCTTACTTACTAAATGGTGACATCTTAGAATCACAGAATGGTTTGGAAGGGACCTTAAAGATCATCTAGTTCCAACCCCCCTGCTATGGGCAGGGACACCTTCTACCCACATTGCTCAAAGCCCCATCCAACCTGGCCTTGAACTCTTCCAGGGATGAGGCCTCCACAACTTCCCTGGGCAACCTGTTCCAGTGCCTCACCACCCTTATAGTGAAGAAGTGACTTCTTCACAAAACACTCCCAGATACCTTTCTATTATGTTCCTTATGTGAGTTCTGAAGATTTTACACCTTTCGGGGTAACTAACTGGGGAAGGGCAGAGAGGTAGTTTGTAAATTTTTTCTGAGCGCCACAAAGCTTTCTATTAGATGATACTATTCCTCCCTCTGTCAAACCTTGCCTGCCTTAGTTGGTTTGGGTCTGGATGAAGCTCCTTATCTATTTAAAAAAAAAAACAAAAAGAAAGAAATCAACAGCACAATCCATCAGGACCATGCTTACTCAGCATCTACACTTTTCTTACTCTCCTTGGATTAAAGCATTGCTTTCCAGCTCTTCTGGCTGCAAGGTGATAGACCTTAAATTTGCTGCTGGTCCATGGGAGCATGTAGGTCATTCCGTAACTCTCATATAGTTTTGGTGTAAAAGTTAAAAAATCAGGAAAAGAGAAAACTTTTTAAACAACTTGGTTTTATTTCTTTTGTAATTAATGGCAGACATTTAAAGTTATTAAGGGATTTAAATGTTGGAACTTTGATTTTGTAATAATTTTGTTTGCACTATGGGGCAAAGCTTACAAAGTATCTGAACAAAGTATGTAGATCATATAAAGATCTTGCCAGCCCTCTACTTAATTTATTACTTGTGCTCTTCTTTGATGTGGAACCTTTGCAACATGTGAACTATCTGGGTAGCGTTTAAGTATAGCATTTAGATTCATGATCATTTTCAGGGATGGGTATAAAGTCTATTTGTGAGGTTTGTATTTTTCTTAGGAGAATAAATGTAATCCGACTTCACTAATCAAAAGCCTTTCCACTTTGGGCTCTACGTTTCATTGATTTGCTTTTGGGGGGTGTTATTTTGGTTGGTTTATGTTGTTTTGCCTTCTTGGATGCCATTTTGTTTTTTCTCCTCTCTTCCTAGTTTCTTTGTAGTAATAAAGCTAAAGGAGATAGTCCTGCCCAACTTCCTGAAGTTTGCTATATAGTCTACTGAGGCTTCTGTCCAGTCAGTGAAGTGATAGAGGATTCTGGAAGGGGAAGTTCAGGATGGAAAAGTATTTGAGAGTGTGAATAGCCCTCTGAAGGAGTTTGCCTTTATAGAAGGGAACTTTTGGAGAATCAGCCCCTTATTTAGGTACCTCACTTAGGTGACTAAAGGCTGTGGGGCAGGAGTATCTCCATGCCAGGTAGGTGGTGGCGGCTCTAAATGCCTTAACTTGGGCAGTGGAAGAGTGAATTGGTTTTGTTTTGCAGCAGTGTGTGATGCCTTTCCAGTTTGAGATGTCTACTCTAAATATTTTTGCATGTCTTGCAGGTCTGGTGTGAAACGAATTTGCGAAGGTGCATCAGTGACTTTCATCGATTTATTTGTGAGACATGTAACAAGGCATTCCCTATGCTTTCGGCGCTCAAACTGCACACAGAAACTCATGTGGTGGATCAGGGAAAAGATAAGCACAAGCCACAGTCCACAACCCCACCCAGTGAGAACCCAGACCAGAAAGCCTTCATGGCATCCTTGGGCCTACAGTACACCAAAGACATCAGGCCTGTCAAGCAGGAGGACAATATACAAGATGAGGTCCAAGAAATGCGGCTCAGAGCACTGAAGAGTAACCTACCTCAGGAACCTGGCAGCACCAGTCTGCTCAGCCTCTCGCCTCTGGAAGCTGCCTCTATGGGAGGGTCATTTTCAGTCCTTCCCCCTACAAAAGAAAACATAAAGCTCCTCTCGCTGCAGCCTTTCCAGAAGGGTTTTATCATCCAGCCTGACAGCAGTATTGTGGTAAAACCCATCTCCAATGAGTCTGCCATTGAGCTGGCAGACATTCAGCAGATCTTGAAGATGGCTGCTTCTGCTCCTCCTCAAATCAGTCTTCCTCCACTTTCTAAGGCACCTTCTGTCCCTGTGCAGTCCATTTTCAAGCATATGCCACCGCTGAAGCCAAAGCCTTTGGTAACACCCCGAACAGTCGTTGCAACCTCTACTCCTCCTCCTCTTATCAGTGCCCAGCAAGCCTCCCCTGGCTGCATCAGCCCAAGCCTCCCGCCTCCCCCTCTGAGGCTGATCAAAAACTCCGTGGAGTCCTCATCCAACTCTCACCTCCCCCAGCCAGGAGCCAAATCAAGTCCTTCCTCACAGTTGCTCCTCCAACCCAAAGTAGAGCCTTTAACTCAGCATGAGATGAAGACGCAACTCGAGCAAGACAGCATCATTGAAGCTCTCCTGCCTCTAAGCATGGAAGCCAAGATCAAGCAAGAGGTGACAGAAGGGGACCTCAAAGCCATCATCGCAGGGGCAACGAACAAGAAAGCCCCAACCATGAGGAAAGTTTTGTACCCCTGCCGTTTCTGTGACCAGGTGTTTGCCTTCTCTGGTGTCCTGAGAGCTCACATCCGTTCTCACTTGGGTATTTCCCCATACCAATGCAACATCTGTGACTACATCGCAGCTGACAAGGCAGCACTGATCCGGCACCTGCGGACCCACAGTGGGGAGAGGCCTTACATCTGTAAAATCTGCCACTACCCATTCACAGTGAAAGCCAACTGTGAGAGGCACCTGCGAAAGAAACACCTCAAAGTGACCAGGAAGGATATAGAGAAGAACATCGAATATGTCACCAGCAATGCCGCAGAGATGGTGGATGCCTTCTGCTCTCCAGACACTGTGTGCAAGCTGTGTGGTGAGGACCTGAAGCATTACCGGGCCCTCCGCATTCACATGAGGACGCACAGTGGCTGCCAGAAGAAGAAGCCGTTTGAGTGCAAGGAGTGTGGCACAGCCTTTTCGGCCAAGAGAAACTGCATTCATCATATCCTCAAGCAGCACTTGCATGTGCAAGAAAGGGAGATAGAGAATTATATCTTAGCGGTGGACTGCAGTGCCCAGGAAAGCCAGACAGACCCTCCTTTATTGGAAGACAGCACTTATATGGACCACAAGTCCATGACGCCTTTCCTGGAGCCGCAAAATGGCTTCTTGCTTGGGTCATCATCTCATGTTCCCATCAAACTTGAACCTGCAGGAAACTTCCCGATGGATTTTGATGAGCCGTTGGATTTCTCTCAGAAAAACAAAAACCTGAGTGCTGTGCAAGTGAAGCAGGAGAACCTGTTTGGCTCTTCTCCCCTGTCCCTCTACGACTGTTCCATGGAGCCCATCGACCTGTCCATCCCCAAAGCCCTGAAGAAGGATAAAGATGATGTCCCGGGTGAAGCCAGGAATCAAGAGTTGGCTGCTTCTGGAAACAGTGATAAAGCCTATAACTGTCTGCAGTGTCCTTTGGTTTTTGGTGCCAGTGGGAACTCAGAGAAAAACAGGGCTGTCAGACATCCCCAGCCACTGAAAGGTTCATTGCATTTGACTGTCCCAATCATTTCCCCGGCTCTCCTTGGCAATTCTGCCTTGCTGAGACCCTTGAGGCCTAAACCACCACCGCCACCTCTCTTGCCAAAGCCTCCAGTAACTAAAGAGCTGCCACCGTTGGCTTCCATTGCACAGATCATTTCATCTGTGTCTTCTGCTCCCGCTTTGCTGAAAACAGATGCTGCAGACACCAGTCCCAAGGCAGTGAGCAGCTCAACTGGGTGTGACAAATCAGGGAATGCCAAAGCAAAAGTGACAATCGTGACCGCCATTCAGAGAGACTCCAGCCTGCCCAGTGACCTGACTCAGGCATGTGATCCAGAGCCGTCTCCCATTGCCGATGTTGGGTTGACTAAGAAAAGAGGTAGAAAGAAAGGAACGAAAAACAAGCCTAAACTTAGCAGTGGTGTGGATCTGGAGTCAAGTGGGGAGTTTGCCAGCATAGAGAAGATGCTAGCTACCACAGACACTAATAAATTTAGCCCGTTTCTGCAGTCCACTGACAATTTCAAGGAAGAAAGTGGCAGAAATGGAACAAGTGAGGATGAGAAGGAAACTGCCGATGATAAGCTGCTGAGAGGGAAGAGGAACTCTTACTCAGACTGCCTGCAAAATATCCCCTGTCCTCACTGTCCTCGAGTCTTTCCATGGGCAAATTCCCTGCAGCGGCACATGCTCACTCACAAAGGTAAGAGCGCCTTGTGTTCATGGTGGATTGTAGCCCCTGAGGATGTTCCTCATGAAAGGGCCTCCCTGTGGAGGAATCTTCCTTTCTTGTCTTCTCTCTGATGCCTGAATGGTATTCTTCATTATTTTGCAAATCCCTAGCCGTTGCTGTTGTATAGTGGTCTTAAGTTTTTCAGTAATGGAATAATCTCTGTGCCTTTGAGTATCAAGGGGACAAATTGAATGCTAAAACTCATTTGACCAGTGGCATAACTCAGTATACCTGGGAAACCTCTGGTTTTAGGTGTTCTGTTATTGTTGTCTTCTCTTGAAGGTGCATGTGTGTGTTGAATATTTCATTGTGCCTTACATGGTTTGTTTGGCTGCTTCCAGTGGCTGTTTGTGTGCATCAGTAATGATAAAAAGATCCATAAAAATGAGAGCAAATAAGTATAGAATTGTGGCAGGAAAATAATATAACACAGCATTTAGCATTTTTTTTTCTTGCGGTGGCTTTTATTTGACAGATCAAAGGAGGAGGATGCGAGAAACATCATCCGGAGCATTACATAGTAGCTTGCCTCTAGGAAATGTTTCTTCTCAGTGCTAGATAACTAAAGGTGGACTTATGCCCTAAGGTGTGGAGATGTGTATGGAATCTTTAATATTGTGCCACTGTGTAAGTAACCTCAAACCTGATGTAAACAAAAGGAGGAATTGGGGAGGGAGATTTATTCTAGGTTTGGGGTTATTTTTCGTTCTTTGCTATAAAGGAAATACTGCGTTGAATGCTGTGTCGATTTGAAGTTCACTCAATTTTCCACCTACACGGTAATAAAGTAATTAGTAGATTCTCATCCTACTCACAGAGAGACAGGACAAAACTCTTACTTGCTGTTGCTCCCTTTTAAGTCAGTAACAGTTGTTTATAGTATTTTCACTATGCAATCTCAACTCCTGATATAAAGAAGGAAAGTTAAGGAAATCTGTACGAAACTTCAGGGAGTTGAGTACAGCCTCATAAGAGAGAACTTCGTATTTTTGGATGGAATTGAGGTTTCATGAAGCAACTGATTCACGTCAGGAAACCTGAAGAGGTAAAAGAGGTTAGCTAAGAGGTTTAAAGGGAATCTGAGCTTGTGGAGCAGTCCCTATTACAGTTTGCTTTGGGTGACGCGAGGACATAACTTGCAAGGTATCAGTGCAACAGTGAGGCTATTGTTTTCTGGCCCACAGAGACCAAATTATTTCATCGTATTAAGCATACAGTTTACTTTCAGTGGTGAAGGAGAGCTCTTTATTCGTATCAATTGTTTTCTAACACTCTGCTCTCAAAAAAAAAAATATATAGTTACTGAAGAACTGTTCATGAGACAGAAACAATAGAGAGGCTTTTCCCAGACTAAGGGGTTTGACCTGCTTATTGATGGCAGACTTCCAAGGTAGCAGCACTGATGTAAACCCTTAATGAAGGCAGGAAAATGTACTCAGCTATGAGTTGTACTGGTAAAACTTGTCTCCTGTACCACCACCGGGCTTGGAAGGAGACACCATCCTTTCAGAAAGCCTGTGCTTCCCCTACAGGGAAGGCAAGCAGCTGCGGCTGCAGCAGGCCTGGATCCTCAGTGCAGATAACAAGACTTGGTGATGGTATGGCAGTGGCAATAATCAGATTCATATTGGTGCGTTCTGGCAATGATAATACTGAGCTCTTTTCTAATCATCATCAGAGCAGTGTCAAGGCAGACTTGTTGCTGGAGGACCACCCCACAGTGAGCTTTGACTGGCCTTGGGGCATCTCCTGTCAGGTGACGCTGGCGCTGTGTTTCTAAACTGGGAGTTCGCAGCAGCTCCCATGTGGCAGCAGTGTAGATGAAGCTTTCTGGAGGAGAGAGGGAAAGGTAAGCTAGGAAGGTGGAGAAGGTTTAGGCCAGGGAGGTGGTGCCAAAGCAAGTGCTAGGATGCATTCAGGTGGAGCAAGCCCTGTGTTTTGTGGTGAGCGTCAGGTGCTGGTGGCATGAGAGGAGTCTGGCAGCTGTGTGATAGATACAGCAGTTTGTGTTCTGGGTGGGCGAGTCAGTTTTCTGATGGAGACATCTACGGTGTCATAGTGCAACGTACCGTTTCTGTCCCCACCTATTGCACACACAGTGACTTGTTGCATAGCTCTGTTTTTTAAAAGGAGTTAAGAAAAAAATCTATTCACTAATCTTACTGTAAAAAGAAAAGGGGAACTTTATTGTCTGGGCTTGATGGCTGCTCCCTAACCTGGGAAGAGAAGGGGCCAAGAGGCTGATGTGAATGGAAGAGGTGAGAGTCCCAGTGATCTGCTTCCAAACTGCCTGTGCTGACTATATGCTCCATAGGGAATCACTGCAGGCAAGCTGCTCTATGCTTCTAGATTTCTGTAGCACACTGCTATCAAAAAAACAAGGCAGCCATTTGAGCTAAAAAGTGGCAACTAGCTCTTCTGCATCCATTTGTAGGGAGGTTGTTGTGGGAGTAATTTGTGTAAGTGATCTAAGGTAATGGTGAGTGAGCATGGTTGAGGAAATTTAAGTAGTATCTGTGTATTACCAGTTTTAAACCACTATGTTTATACAGACATGAAAGATTTTTGCAAGTGTGTCTTTCATGTTCAATAAAATTTTGACATGAAGGACTCCTTCCATGTGGTGTCAAGATTATACTTATCTTTTGTGAAAGTGCAAAAATGCACATGCTACCAGTAACCCACATCCCTCTCTCAACCAAAAGTCTCTCGTGAAAGCTTTTGCCCTGTTTATTCTTGCCTCAACACCATGGTGTGTTTTTTAGTTCAAAAACATTTCCCTGAAGAAGCATACACCTTCCTCCACGGTTTTTCTTTTAATGCAAAGCTCACAAGTGGGACACTGGGAATTTGGCATAGCTTGGTTTTATGCAGTGTTTAACGCAGTACCTGTGTTTTGCTTGAACATGCTGGAACAATTGTTTTTAATACTTTCTTTCTCTTGATGTCTTTATTGTTTAATTCACTCTTCTATCTTCAACTTGGTTTGCCTTTCTTTTTTACCCTTCTCTCCTGCTCTTGACTTTTTTCATTCACATTAAGTAAGATGTGCCCTGCAGGTGGTGCAGTTAATTTTGCTCCTTTTATGGTATGTGCATCAGATTAGGTTCGATAAAAAATTAAAATAATGGTCTTTTTTGGCCATTAGTTTGTTATAGATAACCTAAATCTGTTTGCAGAGAATCACTTGAGGATATTTTCAGAGTGATACTGCCAGATCTTATTTGGCCCAAGATTATTTTTTGTAGAAAGTAAGATTTAATGACGGAGGAGGGTTTTTTGTTGTTTTTGTTTTGTTTTGCTGTTATAACAGGAATGAACCAGACAATAAAAGATCTATAAACAAAATAAAGTAATAAATAAATAGAATACAGTTACATCTAGCCCATGAACCTGAATGTTTCCTGTTGATTGGAGAACACAAGTAATAATAAAAAAACAATGACTGGAGGCATTTTTATTCTTTGCTTTTATGACTTGAGTCAAACTGAAATTGTAGACATCTTTACTTTGTAACATTTCTCCTTACCATGGTGATAATGTGTTTCCACTAGGACAACAGTGACAGGAGATATCTTATTTAAGGAATGAATTTATTACATGCTGTGATTATTTACATGACCCTTTATATTGAAAAAGACTCCCTTCAAATGACTGGCTTCCATGAAGTGTCCAGCCTAGACTAGTCCTGCTGTGCTGCTAACCACATTTTACAGTCAGTCCTGAGCCAATATGTAGGCACAGTTGTATTTTCATCCAGGCCATGACCATTCTTACAGCAAAAAGTAAAAAAAAATTCAAATCACATTGCACTTAAACCGATTGTTTAGGTTATCCTCCAGTGAGTAAGTATATTTTATCAGAAGAGCAGTTGCCTTCAAGAAATAATACAGGAAGCAGAGAATCCTGGTTTTTTGAATGATCTTTTTTGTACCTTTAAAGGTGACATTTTCAGAAAGCAGTCTGGTTTCCATTTGGTAATAGGAATGTATCTTGGGGTGGGAGGATTGGAGTTTGCATAGTAAGCAGGATTTTTGTTCGGGCTTTGAGACCTTCAACTAGAACATTTGTATGGAAGGAAGACTATCTCATCTGTTCTAAGTATTGTCTGTATGACAAATATTTGGTTGATATGAAAAGTTTTAGAGGCTGAAAATATGAGAAGATTTTGACCTGAGATGCAGGTTGAGTTTCAAGTAATTAATCCCCAGCTAATCCTGTCATTGCATGCTTGAAAAGAAATGTGGAAAGGAATTGGGCTATCATGAAGCAAAAGGATTTCTGCTCAGCTTTGAAGTTCTGTTTTGTATTTGCATTGTGAATGAAGCCAAATAAAAGTGCAGAAAGTGGTGGTATTTGTAACCATAAATTTATGGTTGACTTAGCAGGCATCTAAAAAGAAAGAGTGACTTGAAAGCCTGCAAAAAGCAGTGCCTTAACACTTCTAAAAAGTTGTGTTGACCCTGGAAGAAAATTCAGAGAAAGAAATGGCACCCGAGATATCTGCGAGATGCGGGGAATCCCTTATATGGGTTGAGATGTTAATTAGAACAGAACCAACTTGTGGAAGATTAAAGTGAGAAACACACTCACAACGTTCTATCAAAGAGGCTGCTGGCTGAGGGGTGGGGATTGCGTGTGTGTGTGTGTGTGTGTGTTCAGAGGTTTTGAAGTCGGGGTGGAAGGTGTGACAAGAGCTGATCTCTTTTTACAAGTAACTATCTTCACAATCTCTTCATCACGAAGATGTCTTGCAGGACCACTTTCCTCACTGCACTGCATGATCCTGATTTTTCATAGAATCGTAGAAGAGTTTGGATTGGAAGGGACCTTTAAAAGTCATCTAGTCCAGCCCCCCTGCAATAAACAGGGACATCTTCAAGTAGACCAGATTGCTCAGAGCCCTGTCCAACCTGACCTTGAATGTTTCCAGGGATGGGACATCTACCACCTCTCTGGGCAACCTGTGCCAGTGTTTCACCACTCTCATTGTGAAAAATGTCTTCCTCAGATCTAGTTGAAATCTGCTCTCTTTTAGTTTAAAACCCCTTGTTCTATCACTACAGGCCCTGCTAAAAAGTCTGTCCCCATCTTTCTTATAAGCCCCCTCTAAGTACCGGAAGGCTGTAGTAAGGTCTCCCCAGAACCTCCTCTTCTCCAGGCTGAACAACCCCAACTCTCTCAGCCTTTCTCCATAGGAGAGATGTTCCATCACTCTGATCATTTTTGTGGCCCTCCTCTGGACCCTCTCCAACAGGTCCATGTCTTTCCTGTGCTGAGGGCTCCAGAGCTGGATGCAGGACTCCAGGGGGGGCTCACCAGGGCAGAATAGAGGTGCGGAGTCCCCTCCTTTGACCTGCTGGCCAAGCTTCTTTGGATGCAGCCCAGGATACAGTTGGCCTTCTGAGCTGCGAGCACACATTGACAGCTCATGTCCAGCTTTTCATCCACCAGTACCCCCAAGTCCTTCTCGTCAGGGCTGCTCTCAATCCCTTCATCCCCCAGCCTGTACTAATACCAGGGTTTGCCCCAAACCAGCTGACTCTTCCTTCTTTCAACTCTTTCTGTGCTCAGTCCCTTCCCTTTTTGTAGTCATTTAAATGAATTACAGATGTAAAAAACTTCCTCCTGTGGGGAAGTAATTGATTGCTTATTCAACATGTGGGGCTTGATTCCACTCGAGTCAATGGAAAGATGTCCCATGGCTTTGATGGAAGTTGTGTCAAATTCACATGGGTGATAGACGTCTCAGAAGAGAGCCTGCTGTTGAGGAGCTTGCAGTCAGGATGTTGTAGTTGTTCACCAAGCAGTGAAGGGGGAAAAGGAAAAAAAGGAAGTTTCTTAGTACACATTGGAAGGACAGATAGACATACTTTTTTTGTGTGTCAGGCCAGAAGGCCTTCCCCTATCAAAAATGTGTTGTTGTCTTTTCTACCAAATCTAACAAAATTTGCAGAAGCCTGGAGTTGCCAGCTGCTCCCTGAGGAGAAATGTGCTTATTCCCCTAGTCTAAGGAAGGAGATGCTGGATCCCACAGTGACACATGCAGTTTTTCCTGGCTGTTGAGGATACCAAGCCCAAGTTTTGCCTGGTCAGAATGAACGCTGCAGACAAGCAAAGCATAATGATGTCAGAAGTGCCCTGCTGTGTTAAAGCAGTGATACATGCAGCCAAGTACGCACGTCTCTGATGGTAGTGGTAGGATGTGCTATTTAGGGTGAGCATGTGGGCCTGGCCACTTCCTGTGGTCTGTTCCTCTTAATGCTCTATCAGCATCCACAACTGCTGCATTAGGGTTGCGTATTAGAGGGCACATCCCTGCTTGCTCCCTTTAGTACCTGTTTATGGACCTGCTGCCTGCAAGTCTCCCTGATTGCTTTCTGAACCTGCTGATGCCGTCTGCCTCCAACCTCATCTGGCATCAAGCTCCAGAAGTTCACTACCTGCTGTGTAAGGAACTATTTTTTAATGTTTTCAGCTGATTCTCTGCTAGTTTCAGAGAGCCGCCCTTAGTTTCCAGTATTGCAGGATTTGGTGAATTGCAATTGTGTGCACCCTCTCAGCTGCCTTCACAATTTGTAAACCTCAATCATAACACCCTCTTCTTTCCTTCAAAATGAGAATCCTGAGCCTTTCTGATGTCTCCTCGCAGGGCAGCTGCCCCATCACTTGGATCAGGATTGCATGTGTGCCATCTGCAACACAACTATCTCCTTCATGTGGCATGGAGACCAGAAGTGCACACACCACCTGAAACAAAGGCACCGGGCCTTTACAGAGCAGCAAGTGAACACCCTTGGCCTTGCTCTCAATACCCTTGCTCGTGGTACCCACTGTTTCTTGGTGTTAGTTTGGCTGCTGCTGCAGGCTAGGCCAGTGATCCTGGAGAGCTGCCAGTGGTGGCTCCGAGACCTCCTGCCTGAATGTACCTGCTAGTACCACATTTAGCATCACATAAGCATGTTTTAGATTATTTTTGCAGAGGTGTTTTACCTTATATTCATCTGCATTGAAGCTTGCCTGCCGTTATATTGCCCCCTCAGCTTTAAGAATTTAGCAGTGAAGGAGATTGATTATCAGGTCACGCAAGGCTTTGTTGTAGGCAGGTGAGTGGCATTTCATCAGAAGGGACAAGCTGACACGAAACCAAGGGTGAGCACAGTCACTCGGGGGTTTTCTGTGCTGACCAAATGGGATGGATGCAAGAAGGATGCTCAGCAGATGGTAGTATGTGTCCCTTGCCTGGGAAGTGTTTGCACAAGGGAGCCGTTGCTGTAAGGTGTTCACGCCTCCAGAAGAGACAGGGTCACTTTGTGTCACTTTGAGTTGGTTTCACGGAAGAGTTGTTGAAGTAACAAACCTAAAAGCAGCAAGAAGTTGGCTCTGTGCGTCAGGTAATTAAAATTACGAATGAGTTGTTACTCTCAACCTCAGGGTAGCTGCTGATCAGTTTGCACAAAAGTGTGCAGAGGATTTTCCTTTTACATTTCCAAGCTCTGGTTTGTTTGGGGAAGTCTGCTGTCTTCCCAGTTTCTCTCATCCTTTCTTCTTCTTTTAATACAGCAGGTTGCCTTGCAGTGATTCAAATGTAGTAATACAGGTCTTGTTACTAGTCTGGCATTAAAATCTGCCATGCTGGGGACATGTTACGACGTGATTTCATCTTGCCTATCATGAAGAGACTAAGTTGCCTTGTTACCATGTTAACAGCCTGTAACTTCACAGGGCTGTAGCACAGTATCTGGGGTGTCACGTGGGCTCAATCCTGCCTATTCAGACAACAGATGGCTACAGCCTGAGAGAGGAAGACTCATGTTATAACATGATCCTCTCGCAGAACAAAAGTTTGCAGAAAGGCCTCTGCAAGTCCTCACCTCCAGCAATCTTCACAGCAGAAGGAAACTAAACCAACCTACTTGGGTCTATTGAAAATGTTCTTTGCAGTCAGAGGGATCCTAATGCGACTCAGCTGGTCAGTGGGGTGAGGAGGCAAGCTGCTCAGATGAGCACTGGCACGGCACGCAGGGTGGGTAGGACTTTGGTGGAACGTAGATGTTGACTGGGCTGGTCAGAGTGGTTCGACCTGCCCCTGGCAGACAGAGCCTTGGGCCATGGTTGGATAACACAAAGCACTTCTTGGCCATACTGGCTCAACCTGTTCCCAACTGTTCATCGCCACAGCTGTAGCTGACCCAGCTGCCCAAAAAAATGAAAAGGGCAAGGGGAGGGACCAGCAGTCATGAGATCAGTTCCCGGATCTGGCTGCCACTTCAGCCCTAAAAGAGCACATTGATGCAGCTGAGGTGTGGAGCTGGCAGCATCTCCTTGGAGGCACTGGGGATATATGCTGTTGAAATTGGCTTTGCTGTCAAATGCTTTGTGTCTTCAGACAGCAGCTTTAGACAGCAAGGAAGGAGCCCAGATCCTACACTGTTATAGTCACTGCATGCGCTCTATAGCACAGCTTAGTGTTTATAACTGGCTTTGCCAAGTGGTGTTTAATGATGGTCCAAAATCATTCAACAGCTTTGGACTTGTGGTCTCCCTCCATTGTCCAAGAAAAACAGATTTCAAAATCAGAAGAAGTAAATTAACAATTTGAAACTGTGTCTTAGCTTCACATGGGGTTGTTTCTCTTTTTGTGCTGGTTTTAAAAGGTGGGTGAGCAGTGTGCTTGGGGCTCCCATGCAGAGCCCATGCGAGGGCTGTACTTGGAAGTGAATAGTTTTCCAGATTTCACTGTATGCCAGAAGAAAAGGGAATGAAGGGAGATGGTTGGATGGTGTTTGGTCAGCCATAAATGAAGCAAAGCTTTAAGATGAGGTGTAAGACAGGAAGTGCAATTCAATAGAGTGTCACTGGGAACAAGTTTATAGAGGATTTCTTTGGGTCTTGTTTTAAACCAAAACAAAAAACAGGATGGTGGTTTTGAATAGGATTCAGAGACAGGGAGGCTTTGTCAGTGATGGGGCTCGTGCATGTCCTTGCTGTGTGGAGAGGAAGGGGATGGTCTGACTAAAGCACCTGGTGCAAACTGAGGACATCTCGTCCAGCTTGCAACAGTCAGACCGGGGGAGGCCTGTACTGGCAGAGAGCTGTACAATGAAATTGTGGAGCAACTTAATGAATTGCCTGCTTTCATCACGTTAAAGCAGCCCTGGCTTTGACTCCTTAGGGCTTTCTGAATGCTCCCCTCTTGCAAGAAAATACAGTTGACAGAGGAGAGGTGTGGGATGGGAATGGGGTAAGGGATTATCTCTTACATAATAGAAAAAGAGACTTTGCTAAGGAAAGATCCCTTTCTTAAAGAGGCTTGCCCCTAATGTGAGAGGGTCAAACACAACTGCTCTGTGCTAACTAGGCAAATATTGACAAAGTAAGTATACTTAACAGTGAATTTTCCGATTAGCGTTTAGCAGAATTCATCTTTGCTCTAGATATCTGCCACTCTCTGATCCCTCTAGAAATCATGTGAGCCCTGGGTATACCGAGGCACTTTTTGTTTTTCCAAACTGTTCTAGCTGTTTGTACCTCTGAACTACATTTGTGGGTATTTCCTAGAGGACAAAGGGCTTGAAACTGCATTTTCACTGTCAGGCAAAGTTTAACAGCTTCTCCAGAGCCGCAGCTCAGGGTAAAGCAAGAGTTGCTTGCCGCTGAGAGTTGGCCCAAGTGCTAGAGCTGTTGTTTGGAAGATACTGAGGAGATGGTGTATAACTTGCTGATTGTATTGCTGGCTCTCCCATCACACTACTTTTCTGCTATAAGGTGGAATTCACCATAAGCTGAAAACCTGGGATTTTTCCCCCTGCCCCTTCAATGCAGATTTCTACTTGATAGGTGCAGTCAGAGCTAATCCTGAACAGTTTTCTTTGTGTTGGTGACTTCAGCTGCTCTCTTGAAGATACTGGGAGATTGTACCTTGTGTTTTTTTCCCAGAACTGGTTTTCTCCTTTTTCCCCAGATACTTTCAGATCCGTTTACTATAAACAGGCCTTTTCTATCTCAAATGTTTTTGTTTCAAAACATATGCAGATAGGACCGAAGCTCCCTCAGCTGTGGGCTAATTAAATATTTTAAGTTATGTGTGTGCATGTGATGTAATGAAGGTGGATAAGTTTTAGTGTTTAGAGTGTTCACAGTAAAAATGGACAAAGATAACCCCCAAATTTTTGCAAGTTGACTCCTCAGGTTAGAAAGGTGTTCTCCGGTTCGTGGGTGGAAGTAGTAACAGCATTGTGTGAATTGGTCCAAAATAATCCCAAATTTGCTAGACTGCTACCACCTAGTGGTGCCTGCATCTATTGTAAAATACAGGAATAGCTGAGGTTATTTCAGTTAATGTAGGGAAAATAGTAAATCGTCAGCTCATCTGACTGATAATGCCAGCTGCTTGTATAACATCCATTTCCTATGTTCTGTTTGCTCCAATTTTGAGCATTATTTATGTGATGGATTTTCTAACACTTCTCTCAGGATGTCAGGAATGTTTGGCAATAAACACTTGCTTTATGGTCACAAAATAGTTTCCCTTGTAACACTGTGTTTTATCTAATAACTGCTTAGCATCTCAAGCTCTACTCTCTATTCCACCTTAGTTCCAGGAAAAAAGAAAACCGTGGGGAAACAGAATCAAACCAGCAACCTCCTCACCTAGATCTGTATCTGCTCTTTTATGTGAAACGTTCCGCATTCGGCATCTCTCTCAATACTTTGGTTTGTGTATGCCGGAAAGCAGTTTACTCGTCTTTCTCTTTCTTTCTTGCCACCTATAAAAGATGAAGCAGACCCTTCTGATAGGGCTAACTGAAAACTGCAACTTGAATTGTAAATAGACTTCAGGAAAACAGTCTTTTCTTTCCACAGTTTGAAGGAAAAATTATTTTGGCTACAACTATATAGTGGTTTCTTTCATGCAAGTGGAAAAGTTTTTGGATTCTCAGATGGAGTCCTTGAGGTTTTGCTTATGAATAGATCTCCTGAGAAGTTCATTTTTTCCCAGGAGCTGATGAGGGAGCAGCTGAGCTACTGGTGGCTGCTTCGTGTTGCCTTCCTCTGTACGTCCTCACTTCCCTGCTTGTCTCCTCTCTCTCTCTTACCTTGCCTATGTTCTTTGACTCCAGTGTCAGACTTGACATCATCAAATAGTGTCACCTTTTTATCCTTGCTTTGGAGGAGTGACACAAACTCTGGTTGTCCATGACAAGTTAATATATTCTGCTACCATGGTTGCTGAAGAAGTGGCAGTGGGTCGGAGCCTTGGCAAGCAGATCTCTCCGCTCTTGTCCCCTTGGCTCGACAAGTGTAAATATCTGTGGGATAACGAACGGACCAGAAAGCATTTTACAACCTTAGTAAGTGAAAGATGGGAAAGGGGTCAAAGAAATGGCAGGCCTTTCCCGCGCACCTTGCCTTCCTCACCGCCTGGATGCAAGCAGCTGCTCTACACCATAAATGAGCAAAATTCTGGAAACGGAAATTACCTCTCTGAGAGGAGCTAGGCCTTGCTGGAGGGATGTTTGACCAAATCTGAATGCTCTGTCAAAATCCTCCTCCTTGTGTAAGATACAAGCCTGCTGGAGTTGTATGGCCAGCAAGGTTTTCTGTTGCTGCAAATAGGCATGTAAGCAAGGAAAACCCAGTAGCGTAGGCCAAGCCTAACCTCTGCTGGAGTGGACGGAGCGGCTGCCCGTGCAAGACTGCCCTTGCAGTTGTGCCTTGCACTGCAGAAGAAATTCCGTGCTGGACCTGACGTGGCTGTCATCACGACCATCACGTTTCCCACACACCTTCACAGCTCCCCTGCTGCTCTTCCAGTTGGGCTGCAGGAGAGTTGGGCTGATTCTCACCCATCCCCAAATAGCCAGAGTTTGTGCAAAGCAGCTCTCTTTTTCACCAGCTGTGAAACCAACCACCCAGGTTGGGGGTAACCACAGAGCAGCTCGACTAGTCAGGAGCTGCCGCTTTACGATATGCACGAAGCTTCATAAGGGGCCTGTGAAACTCCTTCTTGACAAAGAAAACAGCAGGTCTGGTTTGTGCAGGTAAGGAGGAGGAGTGATCACCCAGGCATGTATGCGTGTCAACATGCTCCTGGCTACGTCCC